CCAAATGGGTTTCAGGCGCTCAGAGATATCAGGGAGGAGGGTGAAATAGATGACGAAAGTGAGGATACAATGAATCAGGAAGATGAGATATGCACGACGGTTGGGAAGGACGATGAGACAGTTGCTGAGAGGAAATCAACTGACGTTAGAGAGGCACCCAGTCAGAGTACGGTATATCATAAAGGACGAGGGAAGCCTGGGCGTAAGCCAATATTAACGACCAAAAGTTTTATTCAAGCTGTGAGTAATAACAAGAAAGTTTCCTCTAAGAGGAAATAATGTCGTCAATTTTCGCGTGGAACATGCGTGGGTTCAATAAGCCGCACAAACAACGAGCAGTACAATACTGGCTGGAAGCTGCTAAGTTATCTTTTGGATGCTTGCTGGAAACAAAGGTACAGAGGAAAAATTGTCAGAGTATCTTTGATGCTACTTTTCCTGGTTGGAACTATCTTCACAATTATGATTTTCACCCCTTGGGAAGGATTTGGGTCTGTTGGTCTAACGCTGTTGAGATTGTGCCTGCTTTGATAAGTGCTCAAATGATCACATGTTGGGTTAAGATCAAGAGTACAGGAGAAATAATGGTAGCTTCGTTTGTCTATGCTTTTAACCAAGCAAATGATCGTAAAGCTCTATGGAGGGAGATGGAGGTTGTTGCTACTTCTTATGTAGGGAATGTGTACCCATGGATAATTCAGGGTGATTTTAATGTTATTCTCACTGCAAATGAGCACTCGCAAGGTGTGCATAATAAAGTTACTAGCGCAATGAGAGAATTTCAAGAAGCTATCTGTATATGTGGTTTGGTTGATCTAGCGCATGTTGGTTCAGTTTCACGTGGACAAACCGTCAATCTGCAAACCCGATCAGCAAAAAACTTGATAGAGTTTTAGTCAACAGTCAATGGCTCTCCTCCTTTCCTGTCTCCTTTGCTACTTTTGAGGCGGGGGGTGTCTCTGATCATCTTCGCTGTTGGACGCAGCTTAGACCAGCGGAGCCATCAAATCGGAAACCTTTTAAGTTTTTCAATCATGTGATCACTCATCCCCGCTTTTTAGAGGTGGTCTCTGAAGGCTGGAACTCGCTACCGGTTCTCTTTCACTCTAGATCAGCTTTAAAATTTCTTCAAGACAAGTTGAAGAGCCTAAAGAGTGACTTGCGAGGATTGAATAGAGATATGTTTGGGGACCTCCCAACAAGAGTTAAACATGCTTTTGAGGATCTGTGTCTCAAGAAAAAAACTGTCACTGATTTTCCCTCAGCGGAAGCTTTCGAAGACGTCTCTGCTGCCTGGGAACATTGGCACCATATCTCTGGCATTGAAGAGCAGTTTTATTTCCAGAAGTCAAGGGTTCAGTGGATAGGTCTTGGGGATCGGAATAACTGTTTCTACCACAAGGTATGCCAAGCAAGGAACTCAAAAAATGCTATCAGACGTATTGTAGCAGAAGATGGAAGAATTCTCACTGATCTCAATGACATCAAGGCGGAAGCTGTACGACATTTTGATGCCTTTCTTAATGCCCATCCAAACACTTTGGAGGATGTATCTGTTGAGTATCTCCAAGAAGTGATTGACTACCGCTGTCCTAGTGAGATGGCAGCAGTACTGGTCAGACCTGTACACGGTGATGAAATTAAGAAAATCCTATTCTCTATGCCTTCGAATAAAGTACCAGGCCCAGATGGATACCCAGTTGAATTCTACAAGGCAGCTTGGTCAGTGGTGGGTAAAGATGTTATCACAGCGGTCCAGTCTTTTTTCATGTTTGGGTTTATGCCCAGAAGTACCAATGCGACGCTGCTGTCTTTGATTCCCAAGACCACAGAGGCAGAACGCATGACTGATTACCGACCTATCGCTTGCTGCAACGTAGTCTACAAGATTATTTCCAAGCTTCTTGCTAGGCGTCTCAAGGCCACCCTTCTATCGGCTATTGAGTTGAATCAATGTGCTTTTGTTAAGGGCCGTCTTCTGCTTGAGAATGTCTTGTTAGCCACAGAACTTGTCAAAGATTATCATAAGTTGGGGATCTCATCGCGGTCAGCAATCAAGCTTGATATCTCCAAGGCGTTTGACACGGTCCAATGGTCTTTTATAGAGGCAACACTTCGTGCAATGGGATACCCAGACATCTTTGTTAATTGGATTATGCGGTGTGTTGAAACTGCGGCCTTCTCGGTATCAGTTAATGGAGAGTTAGAAGGGTTTTTTTCCAGCTCTCGGGGTATCAGACAAGGGTGCTCACTATCCCCATACCTCTTTGTCATTGTGAGTAATGTTCTTTCCAGGCTGATCAACTCTGCAGTCCTACACCAGCGTATTGGATATCATCCCTTGTGTATGTCACTTAAGTTAACTCATCTCAGTTTTGCTGATGATATTATGGTCTTCACAAATGGCTCCATTGCATCTCTGGAGGGCACCATACGAGTCTTTGAGGACTTTGCTAGAAGCTCTGGTCATTGTATAAACATGTAAAAGTCAACAGTTTTCGCGGCTGGGAAAGACAAACAAAGGCTGCAAGAAAAGGCTATCTCTATGGGACTCTCAATCTCTGGCCTACCGTTTAAATATCTTGGACTTCCTCTCACGACAAAGACCATGACCAGAAATGATTACGAGCCTTTACTGGCAAAAATCAGAACTAGATTCCAAAGTTGGACAAGTAAGTCTCTCTCCTTTGCGGGTCGACTTATGCTCATCAAATCGGTCATTGCAAGCACAACAAACTTCTGGTGTTCTGCTTTCTGTCCTCCTTAAGCTTGCATGGATGATATTGAGAGTATGTGCTCAGCCTTCCTTTGGAGCGGCTCACCAAATGACTCCACCAAAGCAAGGGTGGCTTGGAAAGAGGTGTGTACTCCTCTGGAAGAGGGCGGTTTGGGGGTTAGATCTATAGCTGAGGTAAATACGGTTACCTCTCTAAAACTAATATGGCGTCTACTCAGTGAAACGAAGTCTCTATGGGTTGATTGGGTGAGGAGGTACCTAATGCGACAGGAATCTTTTTGGGATATAAGAGATACTGGTCTTGGATCTTGGATATGGAGGAAATTGCTGAGGCTACGCTACTTAGCAAAACATTTTGTTCGTATGAAAGTGCACAATGGTCAGCAGGTGCGTTTCTGGACCGATCTATGGCACCCTTCAGGTAGATTGATAGTACTTGCAGGAGAAATTGGTACGCAGAAGCTTGGTATTGCTAGGTCTTCTTTGATTTGTGATGTATGGGATGGTGTACACTGGTGTTTTCGTCGGTATCGTGATAGTCGGATGCGAGAAATTATCATCATGATCGAAAATCACCGTATGGCGGAAGATCGAACAGCAAATGATGTTGTTCTTTGGAGGCGCAATGAAACAGAATTCTCTGATTTTTTTCTCATCCTCGGCAACTTGGCATCAACTTCGTACGCATAGACCAGTCACAGCTTGGAGCAAAGTGATATGGTTTTCGCTTGGTGTGCCCCGCTTTGCCTTCATAACCTGGCTAGCAATTAAGAACAGATTATCCACCGGTGACAGAATGAGAAGTTGGGGTCTAGTGCAAGGTTGTTTATTTTGTGGTGAACCAGATGAGTCTAGAGACCACCTGTTCTTTGCTTGTCCTTACACTTTCACGCTTTGGACTGAAGTGGTGGGTACCTTGCTGAGCAGAGACCCTGATCCTGATTGGGAAAATACCATTGACCTACTACAAACAGGCAGATTCGAACCCCCCCCAATTCCTCCTGCTCCGTTTGGTTTTTCAAGTCACAGTCTATATGATATTGAGGGAGAGAAATGAAAGGAAGCACTCTAAGAAGCCTAAACAAGTTCATCAGCTGGCAAAGATCATTGATAAAACAATACGAAATAGGCTCCTGTCGGTGAGATACTGGGAGAAGCCACGCTTAAAGGGACTAATGCAGTGTTGGTACCAAGCACACAGAAGTTACACAGATAGTTAGACAGATTTTTTATTCATATCATGTATATAAACTCTTCTTTACCTGATGATCAATAAATTTAACATTTCATCAAAAAAAAAAAGGCTTAGCGTGAAAAATATTACACTAGTTCACATTTGCGAATAAGTTCTACTAACACTCCTTCATTTGTATATGACAAGCCTTTCAGATATAAGACCTTTATTAGCTCTGGAAATTAAACAAGATATCCATTCAAGCTACAAAGTCAAAACATGGAAGATCCGTTGATCCTGACTACACCTGCAAAGTCAGCCAGGCCCAGAATTCCAAAAGTTTATCTCATAATGACTGTTAGAAACTTCATCAAAGATTTTAAGAGGAATGGGATGTGAAGATGCTTGAAAACTGTGTACACCCAAATGACATCCTTTTAATTGAGAGCTTGGCCATAAGCCATACATATCACATAGATAGTTATATAGTTATTGCTGGACCTTTACGAAGAGTGGTCAGTATACTATTAAATCAGGATATTGGATCACTCGAAACATTTTAGAGCAAGAAACATACGTAGTTTATTTAAAAATCAACATCACTAAACTTTAAGCCTTTGAATGGAAAGATAATTAAAGCACCATAGAAGATGTGCCATCTTACCTGATAACTGGTAACAAGACATGTATTTGTAACAAGGAATTTGACACATATGAAAATCTTTGTTCTAGGTGGGGGAAACAAGATGAGTATGTCAATCATGGTATTTTGAATGTCTCCCAGTCTTACAAGCATGGACCTTATCAGCCACATAGTCTAATCTCAACATTTTCCCATTCCCAAGTATATACACATAAAGATTACATTTATTGAAGAAAAAGCAGTATTGAAGATTCAACATTGGATACATAACTTTATCCCTAAGTAATTTAATACTTCTGGAAAGCCCGAAACAATAAACTATTCAGAGGAGTTGACAAAGACCCTTTAGAGCTAATTAGACACGCAGAGGGAAAATGTTAAGCTTAGTAATCTGCAAATGCAGTTGCATCTACAGGGACAGAACCATCATATATTATTGTTATTACATGACAGGTGCAACAGCAGTCCAAGGACGCATACCCAGACGGAAACTGTCTAAAGACGAAATTCTTAATGATAGTTTATTATTTTCGCCAATTATGGTCTAAAGGGTAAGCTACATAAGCTGCATTCAAGGTTAATAAACTCTTATTCTACTTTATCAAATTACTCTATGAATCAAAATCTAGAAAAGGGACAAGAGGGGTCGAAAAAATCTCCTATGGACCTCATGTTTTTCCTTTTAAAAATAAATAAAAAATAATTCGAAAATAGGAGTAAAGACCATGGAACCTAAAAATTTCAATTTATTTACATATCCACCCACCGAAATCCACTAGCCCATCCCCACCCGACTGCTAACCCTAAATTCCCAATCTCTCTCTTTCGATTTCCCAAAATCTCATAACTCAACTACAATCTCATCCCATCTATCTCTCATCTCTAATCCTTCTAACTAGTAATCGTACTTAGAATCAAGCAACAATCATCTTAAATCTCTTCCCCATCTTCGATTGCTTGCGTCATTCAACAATGTCGCCGCAAGTCCAAACTTGACTTGGAAAAAAAAAAGAAGAGAATGATGCCACCACAAAGAATAGAGAAGAAGCAGTGAAGAAGAGGAAAGACGCGTCAAAGAAGAAACGAGATGCGGCTGCGGCAAAGAAGAAGAGAGATGCCGCTACGGCTGCAGCAAAGAAGAAAGACGCAGTGGCGAGGAAGAAGGAAAAAGAGGCAACAGCAAAGAAGAAGACTGAAACCGCGGAAAATAAGAGGGTGCGAGATGGTGGTGCCGATGGTAGATCCTCATCGACACGAAGCAAACAGTCTCAGAACCGCGAGACAGAAATAGAAGCGACAGAAACCGCATCTCCACAAAACCTTCAAGGCGGTGTTTCCCCAGCACCATCAAATGAATTTCCTTTTCAGCCGCATATTGAGGTTATAGCAAGCAGAGAGCTTTCGAGCCAGCCCCAAAAATCACCTATTCAGGCACCCACTGCAACCTCTAGAAACTTCACTTTCGCTTTCAAACTCTTCAACAAAGAGTCCTTCAGACCGTGTAGTTGATGATGAGGAGGTTGGGTCTAACAACAGAGATTCACGCACACCTGAGGCTGCAAATAACAATGACGTGCAAAGAACGGTAAACAGAATCAATTGAAATGTGTTTTTCTAATAGGATTTAAGTAACAATTAGGTAGAAATATATAAGTAGTGTAACTAGTACAATTAAAAGAGATAAACTAATAATATTGTAAAACAGATTCAATGGAGCTAGTATAACCAGTGTAACTAACACTACTGAGCATCGTATACCTAGTATAACTAAAAGAGTGAAAATGGTGCAACTAGTAATAATATGTTGTAAGAAAGATTCAGTGTACTAGTATAACTAGTACAACTGAGTATCATATAACTATTAGAACTCTGTGATTTAAAAAGGTTTAATGAGATAATTTTATTAATGTATTACTTGTGTAATTGGTACAACAAGAGAAGTATTACTAGGACAACTTATCTTGTTTATCTGTATAACTGGTGTAATTCGATGATGTTGTTATCGTATAACTAGTTTAAGTGGTACAAATAGTAATATTATTTTTAGTTTAATCATTGTAACTGGTGCGACTAACTGATTTTCTGTTCTTATTTGTGTTTTCAGGTTGTGGAGGAGAATATGGCCGTAGAACCAATTTGACCTGTTGTTTTTTCTTCAAGCGTAGCGAGTATGGGACGGTTTGCAAGCTCTCCTCAAGGTACCACCAACAAAATTTTCTGAAGACAATTGAAAACTTTGAGGAGTCAGAGAAGAGTTGGTTTAAGAATCACCCTCAGTTCAAACATTTATTTCACATTGATTGTTGTGAAAAGAAAGGTTCAGGATTGTGGATATTGCTACTTCGTCGTATGCATACATGAAAGGATTGACAAGCTTGGTTTGGGGTAAACGATGTTAGAACTAGATACTCCGTCAGGGAACACGCCCTCCTCTCTGGTTTATACTGCGGAACATACCCTGAAACTATTCGAGTATTGGGAGGATGAAGTTTGCGACAAAGCATTTTAAGAACCTGCAAAAGAATATTAAGGAGAAGACGAGGAAGAAACAGGGTTTGAGAGTGACAGAAGAGGATGTCTTAGAGAACCTTGAGAAGATGCAAGCTGATGGTAGTGATGAGCGTCTGAAGATGGCAGTTCAATACTTTTTGGCAAGAGTAATAAGAGGAAGGTCAAGAAATGGGTACTTCATTGAGCCTTTCATTCTCCAGGAAGTAGATGATCTGGATTTTTGCAACAAATTTCCATGGGGAGTTACACATTTGATGATTGCATGAAGGAGATTTTCCACTTGAAGGATCATTTTGCTAAAGGGATCGCAGAGAATGTGCAGTGGACATTTTCTGGATTTATCATCCCTTTGGAGGTATATGAATTATGTTTTTCATAAACATATTTGTTATTATATAATGAATATGATTGTGTGAAATGATGTGTAGATATTGGCTTTTGAATGTATATGTATCCTTAGGGAAAGTTTCAGAGATCCTGTTCCAAACTGTTTCCTAGATTGCCCAAGAATATGCAAATAGAAGTACAAGAGGACCGGGACAACAAGGCTTGCATTGGAAGAGATTTATGAGGCACTTGACAAGACGAAGGTAAAATATTTTAATATTTAATTATTGTTTATGTTATTTTCTTCAAGTTCATAATTAATTTAGGTGTGATATGTTGTTGGTCATATTTCAGGTGATTTCAAGTAGGCTGGAACCATGTGAGGTGAACTAGACCTCTTGTATGAAATCATGGATGAAGAGAGTGTGGAAGACGTGGAGCTGCTACATGATTCAGATAAGCCAGACATAGCCGTTGACAGTTGGAACCGGATCCTTAAAGAACCGGAAGGAAAAATATTTTGGGAGGATCTATTCAAGATGGATGTGAGAACCCAGCCTACCACACAACAACAATCCGAGCCTCATGGTATCTTTGAAGGGCAGGAGGAAGAAAGGGTGTGTGAGGAACCCGAGGCAGGGGGCGAGGCATGTCGTGAGAGTGTACAAGAGATGGAATTGAGATTGAACAAGAGAATGGACAACGGATTTGTATTGAGGGATGATAAGGGGTTTTTATGCCCTCAAAGCAAATCAATGTAGTAGTTAAGATTGTCGAACCACAGAGAACTAGTGATCTAGAACACTAAGAATACACAAAGTTTCCTAAACTAAGCAAATAAGGTATTGGAAGATTTGTAACAAGCTAAGTTCCTAGAGATATAAACAAGGTGATCTCAAATCCAATCAAGAAACAACCACAAGAATTAACTTTTAATCAATAAGAATAACTAGAACTCATGGATTAGGCTTTTGTCTTCAAGTGATTATCCAATCTAGGGTGAGGTATCAAGCAATCTATCAAGTACTATAGGTCTAGACACAATCCTAAGCTAATCCTTTGTCAAGGTAAAAGCTCATTTGCTACCAATCTCTAATCATCAAGTGTCCTTGGCTAAGCAAGCAAAAATCATTATTACTTTAGTTCAGGCATATCATCATACACCTTGTGGGCAAGAAATGTCTAATGATCTAGAATAAAAGGGTTATCTCTAATCTAGCATAGAAATTAAGTAATAAGCATAGACCAAGAAGGATCAGACACTAATCACCCTAGATCATCACTTAATCACCCTAATCACCTCAATCCATGAATCCCAAAGGTAACTACTCTCTAATCTCCATGAAAAGCCTTAAACCCATATGAGAGTCAAGACTAATCATGTTAATGAGCAAGTGAAGAAGAAATTCAGATGAAGAACTTTCTTTAATGATCAAAAGATTCAAGCTTTTACAATGAGCGGCAAAGTTCTAGAGAAAAAATGAAATAGATTCCCAAAAGAGATTATCAGAGTATTTATATGGTTTAGGAGATACAAGGGTTTTCTAGACAAAATGACCAAAAGGACCTTGCAAGATAATAGAAATTTCTGGTCTTAGTCGCGTGACCCGGGGTGTGGTCGAGAGCTCCCACACTAGTCATTTACTTGTCCTCAAGTAATTCATTAAGATCAAAGGGAGAGAGAATGAAAATGGCAGCTCAAAACCAATGGATACTCTTCTTATACTCAACACCACATATTAGACAAACATAACCTATACCAAAAGCAGTCTCAATTATTACAGTCTATCTTTTCAAGTTCTATGAAGACTCATTGCTATAAAACATGTTGTGGTTCACCAATCAACAAATCTCCTTAACCAACCCTCACATTAAATTAAGCATAAGCTAATAAGGTGAAGTCTTGCAAATGGAAACTTGATCTAGATCATTTGGCTTTGTGAGTGAAAAGGTTTAATGAGTATAAAAGAGGGGTTTCAATGCATTTCTTTTTAGTAGCTTACACTCAAGAAATAGGGACTTGATCACTATGCAAAATCAATCTAAGAAAAGAGGCAACTTATGCATACATGCTTGTTCTTATCATTCTACCCTTTTCCTAGATGATCTTCAAAGTCTACCCTCTTCTCTTTGTGTAATTCTCAACCCATTCTATCCCAAAAACATTAAGATCTCTCTCTTTCTCACTCACCCAATGAACCTTTCTTTTTCTTTCTTTTAAACCAACTAGGGACTTTTTTTTCTTCTTCTTTACTTAAGCTCTATCCTTTTTTTCTTAAGCTTTCCCCAAAGTCTTTTTCTAGACTTTTTATGTCTTTATGTTCTAGGAGGTTTCTATTTGAAGGTTTCTAGAGCTTTTCTTGTTTTTTCCTTTGATCCCTAGTGGTTTTCTTCTCTTTTTCTTTATTTGGTTCATTCTTTTCACTCTTCTAACACCTCAAGACTCAAGATAAACTCTTTTGCACCACAATACCAAACTTCCCATCCTAATTGCTACCTGTCAAGAGGTTCTATAGCTAGCCTGAGATAAGAACAACCAATGTCGCCTCTAATACTCTCAAGCTTTTGCACATGAAAAGCTATCAAAAGATATCTCACACAAGCAATATGATTTAGTATTCAAAGAATGGTAAGGGTTTAAGGGTGTGGGAGTGCCATCTGGGTTTTATAAAGAGTGGTAGAAAGGATAAGTAAAACCCAAATGTGTATGACCCATGATCAAGTATGCAAGTTCCCATAAGCAAGAAGGATTAATTTCATTTAGCTTTAAGTTCATTTGGAGTTGGTATTAAGGGAGAATGTTAATCTCACACAAGTAAAAAGTTTCAAGAAGAAAATCAAGGCATGAAGCATGTAAGCTTTTCAGGAGATGCTTAAGCTACTTGCTATGATCAGCTAGGGTGTAATTTTGAGTTCTAAGCATGTGTTTCCTTATGAGTTCAGCTCCCAATGCATGAATCCAATCTAAATTCTTCTAGACTCAATCTTAAAGATGTTATGATGCAACCTAAATGCTTGTTTTTGTTTCTTTTTGGAAATTTTTCAATTTTTTGGATTTTTCTATGTATATATATATGTACAATGCAATGCATGAGAATCAAAATCAACAAAGCAAACATGAACAAATACTTGGTACCTCCCCCAAACTTAAATTGCACAGTCTATGTGTGAATAAGGGAGAAGGAGATACCGAAAATATGATAAAAGCAATGGTTATACAAGGAATTGCTGGAGTGGTACCTCAAGTGGAGGCCGAGGTGTGGTAATGGGCGTGAAGGTCTAGTGCTAGAAGCTGGCTGCCTTTCTTCTCTTATGAGCTCTAGATCCAACCTGAAAATCCTCAATTGCATTTATTAAACAAACTAAAGCAAGAAGATAAAGAATATATACAATGGATAAATATGGGACTTCCTCCCAAGTGAGCTTATCATAGGTATCAAAAGGTTGAGCCAATGCACCTTTGATCCTTCTATTACAAAAACAAGAAACAAAGTATGCAAAGGAGCACACTACTGTCCATTGAAAATAGACAGATTTTTCATCAAAGAACTTTACTAAAGATGCAGCATGAATTATGAAATTCTCTTTGATGTTCAGAATGTCATGAGAATCAAATGCATTTGGTGGAAAAAAAAAGTCAACTACATGCTCAAAAGAGGCTTTAATAAAGT